CACACACACACACACACACACACACACACACACACACACACACACACACACACACACGTGCAAAGGAGTTGGTCTGTCGCTACTGCTATGGTTATTGTGGTCGTTCCTCACCTGCCGCCATGAAGATCCTCCACCCGTTCTCCCAAAATTGCTACATAGGCGCCTTTTGAATTCCAGATAAGCCTGCTGCCAACTGAACTTTTGTGTGCGGGAATCCATGGCCGGACCCAGTCTGCGCCGACTGGCGGATGTCGCTGCCGTCGCCGCTCCCAACGACAATGCTGACATAGCACTTGACACTGTATTTGGACTGAATCTGATATCTCATGCGTAGGCAGAATCCAGAAGTCAGGATGGAACACAGAGACAGGAAACCAACCGGAGAGCACAGAGAAGAGAAGAAGCGTAACATAAGACCCCCCCCCACACACACACAGACAATGCACACGAGCACGCAAGAAAGTAAGCAACCAAGCGAGTGGATGATCAGGAGGGCAGGTCGCTAAAGCGAGGGATGATAACAAAACTTGCAGGTAGCCAAGCCAAACAACCACCACCTTAGACTCCCGATCACCCAGTCCCACCTCCCCACTTATTGAAAAACAAACAAATAATTGAATTGAAATTTGAAATGAATAGATAAGAAATGATGGCGATCATCTATACTCCTCTACTTTGACCAAGGGTTCAAGTTCCCATCTTGACTGTCAAGATCCCAACTTGACTTGTCAAGGTCCCAACTTGACTGTCAAGATCCCAACTTGACTTGTCAAGGTCCCATCTTGACAGTCAAGGTCCCAACTTGACTGTCAAGATCCCAACTTGACTTGTCAAGGTCCCAACTTGACTGTCAATTTGCCTGTATTGTGGCCAAACCACACACACACACATGTACCTATTGATAAAAAACAGATCACAAGTTCAAGTCCGGCGGGATACAACAAATATGTTAGGGGTTTGTCTTCTCCCCACTAGACCAGCAGTACGGGGACCATTCTGCCACAATACACCTTTTGATAATAAACAGATCAGAACTTCATCTATGTTGTTTTCAGAAGAATGTTTGATTCAAAGAGTTTACTAATTACCTGATGTTGAGGGATAGGCCAGTTGTGAAGCTTACCACAACAGTATGTAGCTCTTGTCGATAAGAAGAAGAAGAAGAAGAAGAAGAAGAAGAAGAAGAAGAAGAAGGAGGAGGACAAGAAGAGAGAGGAAGGGAAGCAGACGAGAACTAGGAGAACGAAGAGTTCAAGGTCCCAACTTGACTGTCAAGGTCCCAATTTGACTGTCAAGATCCCAACTTGACTGCCAAGGTCCCAATTTGACTGTCAATTTGTGTGTACTGCGGCTGAACAAGACACAAACATGTACCTGTTGATAATAAACCGATCAGAAGTTCAAACCCGTCAGGTAAGAAGAGGCGGAGGAGGGTAGGGACAACGAGAAGGACGAGGAGCAGAAGAAGGACAAGAAGGACGATGAGCAGAAGAAGGACAAGAAGGACGAGGAGCAGAAGAAGGACAAGAAGGACGAGGAGCAGAAGAAGGACAAGAAGGACGAGGAGAAGATTTGGTTAAAGAAGGGAGCAAATAGAACGAGGAACAGGAGGAGGAGGAGGAACAGGAGATTCCCCTCTCCCCTCCCCCCCCCCCCCCCCCCCCCCCCCCCCCCCCCCAGCCCAAAAAAAGAAAACGAAAAAGGAAACCAAAAACCTTCGCTGGCATGCCTCTTTGCTGGCACAGCAAACAAACAAATGCATTGCACCTGGTCATAAACAATCGCTGCATTTTTTCAGACATTACCAAGAATTCGAAATGAATTTAATGAAATGCATTATTTATAATTATTCTAAGGTGAGCCTCCCTCCGTGGCCAGTGATGAAATCAGAAAAAAACAACAAAAAAAGAGAACATAGATACCTACAGTTTCAAGTCATTCGGATCAGCCAAATACACAATGCCTGGTGGACTGAGAGTTGCACCAAAAGCAGCTATAATGATCAGGCGTGCTATTAGGAAGAAGACGGTGGTGGATTGCAAAGCAGGCAGGCAATCACCTCTTCTTTTCCAAGTTCCAAGTTACAGGCCTCTGCCTCCACTGCATAAGATTCTAAATGAATCTGGAGCTGGTAAGGGTGGGGGTCCTCTTAAAATAGATTGGGTCATCGTTGCATAAAAAAAAAAAAAAAAAAAAAAAAAGTTGAAGAGAGATTTTCCCGAGGGAAAGGGGGAGGAAGGG